TCTCTTTATCTCTTTCATGCATAAGGATTTAATTATACCCTAAATAACCATCCATAAAGGAATAGCAATAGCTTCGAGCAGTATTATCGACCAACATATCAATGTGGTGTAATGGAAAATCATCTTTCGGGCTCGCATTATTTAAATTACGATAATCAACACACATTCAAATTCGTCCTTCTTTTTTAGGAACAGGAACAATATTTGCCACCCATTGTGGGTAAGTTACTACCTACAAAAATCCTGCTTCTAACTGCTTTATTACTTCTTCTTTTATTTGCAAGGACACTCCCGTGTTCATTCTCCTTAACTTCTATTTCTTAGGCTCAACCTTAGGAAGTAATGGTATTTATGAGAAGTAATGCTTGGGTCTAGCCCAGGCATATCTTTATAAGACCATGCAAACACATCTATGTATTCTTTGAACAACTCAATCATTTGTTCCCTTTCAGGATTATCTACTATTTTGAGCATTCTTTGATCCTGCTCAGTTCCCATATTAACCATCTCAATCATTTCTTCATGTGGGCATATTCCCTTATCACTCAATTCAAGCATCTTAGAAAAAGTTTGGATTACATCTTCATCATCAAACTCACAATCATGCATATCAGTGGCAACGAGTGAATCATCTTCACAGGGTTTATTAATCTCTGGGTGAGAGATGGAATCAGAAGAAACAAAATCCCTAGATAATGAATATGGAATGAGATAAAATAAGGAACAAGAATGAAATGGAGAAAAATGTATTGAAGTAGATAGGGTGGAATGAAGAGATAGACATGAATGCAACTGAAATTCATTTTCATGAATTATGTATATCAAAAGTTTGCATTGAAGAATACCCAAGATCTATTACCTAAACCTGGGCTCAAAAAGTGGATAACAAAATAGGAACAACATAATTGAAATAATTACTCTAAGCTAATGACATATTGGCCTCTTCAAACTCCCAATTCACCAGAACTTTGTTGGAATCAGCAATTGCAATTGAGGCACTTGTTCCACATGCTACATCTTTGTTAGAAGAGATCACTGAGATAGTTGGTTCATACATAACCTTGGACGGACTTAAGAAGGATTCATTGATGTGTGGAATCTCCAATTTACTGGTCTTTTTACATTTTGCCAAACCTGCTTTGTCTTTCATCTGGTCTTCTAGGGTAGGCTCATACCCTAACCCTTGGTGATTACAATTATCCAAAACCTTAATTGCACACGTAATTCCTTGTAAATGAGAGCCTAAACCTTTCCCTGGCATAAACCCACTCTTTGTCATGATTTTAGCCACAACAGAATTGATGTTGTGAGTATTGTTACAAATACCCTCAACCTCCAAGCTTTGAAAGGAAACTCCATGATCCTTCTCTACAGCCTCAATATAAGGGAGTGAGCTTGGTTTGCTCACCATGATTTCCTCCTCTCCTTTAACTGCTATAATTCCCCCATCACTGATGAACTTAACCTTTTGATGTAGGGTAGAAGGAACAGCCCTAGCAGAATGAATCCATGGCCTTCCTAGCAACATTGTGTAGTTTGGGTCTATGTTCATGAGTTAGAAATTTACTTTAAACCTGCTTGGCCCTATCTCCAGGGAGAGACAAACAGATCCTAATACTTCCGTCTTGATCCATCAAATGCTCTTACCATAATATTGCTTTTATGTACACTTAAAGCTTCTAGTGATAATGATTCAAATATGGAGAGCGGCAAGACATTTAACGCTGATCCTCCATCAATTAATACTCTTGCAATTATGAACCCTTTACATTTCAAAGTGATGTGCAAAGCCTTGGTTTGGTGGATAGCAGTTTTTGTAACTTCCTCTTCGAAAAGGAAATGGTAGAGGAGGCTATTACAACATTCATTACACTTGCCACCTTCTCAGGGGTTATATTAGGCTACACAAAAGCTTGATTCAACACTTCTTGCAATGCTTGGCGATGTGCTTCGGAATTCAAAATCAAAGAAAGTATTGAGATACGCGCTGGAGTTTTCTTCAATTGGTCCACAATGCTGTAATCACTTTGCTTCATAATTGATAAAAACTCATCTTCTAATTTTTCCATTTCTTTAGGATTATCTTCCTTCTGCCTGTCAATATTTGCATTTTTCTCTTTTACCATTTTCCTAATGTAAGATGGTAAGTATGGTTTTCCACTTCGAGTAACACCCCCTAGGTTTGCCATTTCATTGCTTGTCCCAGCAATTAACGTTGGGTTTTTGTGATTCTCCACAATGCTTTGATATCTCCATGGGACTGCTCGATCACTTTCATAGGGAAAGGGATGAGGTGTGCTTATGGTTAATGTTGGTTGTCTTGCGTGAGGTGCAAGATCTACAGAGGCTTTGTTTATCACAAAAGAGACTGCCTAGACTCACTCTTTCAGCTTGAATTAATGACAAGCTCAATACACTTTTTCTCTACCATGCACACTTTAATGTCTCCCTTCTTTACAGACACAATCCCTAACACCATCATTTTTCTAACAACTTCTTTAAACTGTTCACAACTTTCTATGTCATGGCCTATTTTCTCCTGATGATATTCATAGTATCTAGGCATTTGATCATTGTTATTATTTGTGAAGAGCATTTCTCGCATATAGCCATACTCCTTTAAGTGAGCATAAAGCTCATTCATAGGCATCCTGACCCTTGCGAAGCTTTTGAGACATGCATCCTCTTCTTCAATAGCGTTGACTCGCTTTTCGTGATTTGGGAATGGATCAGTAGTAATGGTAGAGCTTCCCTCTTCTTTAAGCTGGATATGGTTAGAATCAACCAGGTCTAGCACATTCCTTTTAAACGTCACACAGTCTTCTATTGAGTGTCCAGGTGCACCCATGTGGTATTCACAAACAACATTTGGATTATACCATGCCGGGTAAGGCGGACCAAGAGGCTTATAAGGTCGTAGACCTAATAATTGGGCTGTCAAAAGTTTATGGTACAATTCAGCATTTGTTAATCCAAAATTAGGCCATGGGCGACTATTCCTGGATTGGATATTTCTCCTCTCTCCATCCTGCCCGTGCTTGTTAGGCCTGAACCCAAATTGTTGCTGTCTTTGATTCCTTCCCTCTATTTGATAAGGGACTTAAGAACTGGTAGCTACTTGTCTTACAGGTTAAATATAGTCCACATTCCCTTCTTTCTTTTTTTGGTCATAGTTCTTTCATGAACTACTTTCAGCTTGAGAAGTGGCTATCTTCCCCTCTCGTATGTCTATATCAATCCTTTCTCCAATTACTATTAAATCAGTAAAATTAGTGACATGTGTTCCTATCATGTGTTGGTAAAATGGCTTAGGCAATGCATGGATGAAGTATGAGCAAAGTTTAGAATTCACTATGGGAGGTTGCACTTGTGAAGCCACTATTCTCTATCGTTAAGCATATTCTTTGAATGATTCTGATGATTTCTTGGTTATTGCTTTCAATTGTTCTCTGGTTGGAGCAGTATCAAGATTGAATTTGTATTGTCTCATGAAAACATCCACAAGGTCTTTCCATCTTTTAATCTTGGTTTGGTCTAGTTGCATGTACCAGGTCAGTGCAACTCCAGTTAAGCTTTCAGGAAAGAAGTTTATCAAAAATTTCTCATCTTGTGACCATATGGACATCTTTGTGCAATAGGCCCTCAAATGATAAATTGGGTTACTTGTACCATCATATTTATTATAGTTTGGCATCTTGAATTTATTGGGAACATCAATTTCTAGGGTCAAGCATAATTCTTTCAAGTCTAAGGAACCCCTCGTGTTCGACCCTTGAAGAGCCTTCAATTGATCTTTCATCTCTCCAAGTTCTTCTTTCAACTCCTTCTCTTTATGTAACACTTGTGGGATTTGGAACATGTAGGTATGATCTTCCCCAGGACCATCCAGTATGTTAAAGGCCCCTATCCCAGAATCTTGTTTCTCTGGCGTGGGTACCTTAGGATCTGATCCTCTATTTGGCTCAATTGTTCTATTAGCTGCGTTCTCATTTGCTATGGTATTCTGTGGTGGATTATTGTCACTCCTTCCTTTTAGAGCCTCTGTTAGCAGTTTCATCATGTCACTTATTTCGGCCATTTTGGACTCCACTGCAGACATCCGATCATTTAAGGCCGCTGACTCATTCACGTTTGAATTTTCCATTGCACGACTACACGATCGTGTGTTGTATGCTCGAGTGGCGGGAATCTGGTCAGCTGAGTTTTTCTTTCGAGGCGCAATGTTGGCTTACCTGTGTAACATAATAATTAATTTTAATAAGTTTTACCTTTATGTTTGTTTCGTAAGATATCTAGCAGTGTGTAGACATAAGGGTTTCACGACACTAGCACCCTTTAAATTCCTCCAGAAATTTATTATTTCATAGGGGATTTAAAGTTGACCATTGAATTAGATGGACATTGGATCCTATCAAAATTCAAGGTTTTAAGAAAATGATAGTAGTACAAATTAATCAACAATTTCACAACCACAAAGCGTCATATGGATCCTCATATAATGATTCAAATGTTAATACAGACTTAGAACTTTGTCACGCTATTGAGTTCTTTTATAATTTCATTGCACAAATGGAAAAATTCAACAATCTCTAATGGAGTTCCTCCAGGGAGAACCATGCCTTCAGCTTGCTTAAATGCTCTTGCAAATTCTAGAATTTTGTCACTAGCTAAATCGATTATCTGCCTATATTTTAACATCCATTCTTTGGTTTCTTCTGTTTGATCAAGGCAAAGTGATTTCCACTCTTCTAAGACTTCATTTTGTTGATTAAGCCTCTGAACAAAGTTCTGTGCTATCTCAGCTACACTTCCTCTTACCCTGGCTAGTTCATTCACCTTCCTTTCCAATTGTCTTGTGAGTGTATTGATTTCTTGTTGCATCTCCTCGATAGGCCTGATGTCTTGTAATTCCTTCTTCAATGCATCATTTTCCCTGACTATTTTGACAAGTCTTGCTTTAGTACTTTGAACTTTGTTGTCACTAGTTTGCACTTCCCTTTTCAGTTTGGCATTTTCTTTTTCAATTTCTTAGTCTCAAGTGTTTCTTCAAGGTTATGCCCTTCTCTTTCCTTTACTAGCTTCCTCCGTAACTCAATGCATTCATTTTGGTATTTTTCCAATTCTTCCTTATTCTTGGACTCTGAGCTAGCAAGCTCTTGTAACTCATTTTCCTTCATCTTCAAGCATTCAACCAGTTGCCCATTAATCTCTTTCAAGTCATTGCCTAATAAGGGATTTTGAGGATGGAATAAAGGATTTACTCCTTGAATCATACTCTTCAGCCAAGTAGTATATTCTGGACTTGAGTTTACTACGCGTATCCCTAGCTCAATCTTCCCTTTGTACCCTATCTTTTGCCATGCTTTTTTGACATTCTGGTTTGATAACTTTATCCCATCCTCCTTATGTAGAAAGTATAACTCCTGCACCTCTTTCTTAGAAGGAACATTTTGCTTATAGGCCAGTTGCTTTAATGCTAAGGAAGGGTTATAGTTGATACACCTTCTGGATCCCATTAAAGGCACATTCGGAAAGTCACCACAATGGTAAATAACCTCCTCTTTCCACCACCAGTCTAGTTTCCATAAGATGGAACTTTCTTTGAGTTCTGAAAAGGTTCTTTTCCAATCCATGTGGCTCATTCCGTCAATCACGAATTGACCCTTAAAAGACATGAGTGGATTACTGTCTGAGTCGTTCTTCTTTCTGAAAGGAAGCATCTTTCCATAAAGGTGGCCAAGCATCCATAAATCCAGTAACGCAATACAACAATTGACCTTTCCTTTTCTTTTATTATGACATTGAGTTAAGGTCAAGTATGTTTCTGCCAAGATTGCTGGTACCGGATTCACGTTATGATATTCCACCATTTAGAATACATTAATGGCTCCTAAATCAATTATGCCAATTGATGATGGAAACAGGATTATTCCACATATGCATAAGGCAAAGACTTTGCAAAACGTAACCCAAGCCTCTTTTTCTGCCAAAACTTTCAAGTGGGCTTCTACATCAGCTCTTGAGATTCCCTCGGTTTGTCCTAAGCAAACCATTCGTACTTTTTCGTTAGGAATTTCTAAAATTTTCACTGTCATACCTCGAGATGGTAAATACCCAGGATAAAGATACACTGCCATGTTCTCCTTAAGGGGCATTCTCAAAATTTCTCCATATTCTTCCAAAGTCGGTGCCATTTGGAAGTCTTGAAATGTGAAACATCTTAACAAGGCATCCCAATATTGGCTTAATTCCATTATTGCATCATTATGTATTGTGACCGACAGAAGATCTAAGATATTTCCATATTTCCTTTTAAAATCTTGCATAATCTTCCCTTTGATATGACGGCTCAACTCAATTAAGGTTTCCAGCGGCTCAACTTTTACAAATAATTTAATCCCTTTTCCTTGATATAACTTTCCAGTGTGATTTAGATTTGTACTACCTTCGAGTGCCATTTATCCCTTATGCTAATTTCACAAAGATTCTGGATAACTCACGATTCCTGTTAATCAAAACAAAAGTTAATAATATATAATTCTCATAATTTTAGCAAGCTATCTCGCTCTTTTTTTTTGAAAACCCTCTCCTCCAGACACTTATTGCATCATAGGGAGATAGAGTAAACAATTAATTGACGAGAGGCTTAAATCCCCTACATGATTAATGTTGAAAGGTTTAGCCTTACAATTTTTTTTGAGGAAAGAAAAAAAAAAAAAATGATTTTGGTGATAGATATGCAAGGAGAAAATCCCTTCTCTCCTCAATGTGCTTATTGCCCCATAGGAAGAAAGGGATTAATTAGCCTATGTGTAGCTAAAACTGATACATGGCTAAAGTCTCGACTTTAAAAATGAAATAACTCAATAACAAGAGAAATTATTTAATTTGTGGTTTTTTTTAAAAAAATGCGAATACTTTATGATGACATGTTATGACAATAATGCAATAAAAGATCAATACTCTCATCCTGTGTCCTATTCAGGGAGACTTAAGTTCATAATCGGGTGTTCACTAGAATGGTTGGCTACTAGCTTTTGTTTATAACGTGTAATTCACGGGTAGATGTATATTCCTAAAAGGCTCCCAAGATGCCCTCACCCGAAGGTGAAGACCTTACTTAATAATTTTAGCCCTCCGAGAACATAAGCTCTACAGGGACCAAATTTATTAGGCAAGTAACAACTTGGGTGAGGTATTCATGGTAACCTCCAAGAGTTCAAAAACTCCACAGGGAAACCACTACTAACCTCTACTAACCTATGGTACTCACAGACCCGGGTATAGGGCCCAAAATATGTGTGTGTCAAATTATGTAAGTGTATAGTGTGTGTTGAGAGCATGCAAGCACGTTATTTTATTCTTATATGCTACCCAACCCTCAACTTTTAATCAGATCAAATAGAGAAACAAATAAAAGTCATCTATCTTAAGGTTTATTCCACATGTTATCTACCTTAAAAACATGTTATAAAATACAAAAGGAAAGAGAAAAGGGAAAAGAGGAAGAAACAAGGGACACATAAATTTAAAAGGATAATAAAGATAAACCATATTATATTTTGAGCACAACAGACTTATAGGCTTGACTCTCTAACTTTCCCCAGTGGAGTCACCAACTGTCACACCTGAAAAAATACGACGCGGACAGCGCGCGAGCGGAGGTCCAGGCCTTCGCGACGGGAACCAGATCAAACGAGGAGTCGCCACTGAGATTTTGAGGTAAATCTCAAGAAACCGATTAATGGAGGATAAGGGTGGTCTGCAAAATTAGAGAATAGGTTTGGGAGTTGATTGAGTGTGGGGAAGGTGTTAGGCACCCCATAACACTCGTTCGTCAGAACGGTTACCTGAAGTTTGTTGTGCTCTATTAATATAGTTTTATAATTATTTTAATTATCCCTTTTATATTCATATGTTTGATATAAAAATGATAAGAATTAGGTGAGAAATGTTTATTTATTTACGAGGGAGGACGGACGTAACTCAGAATCTGACTCTGAGGCCTACGTACCCTGTGATGGGGATCAAAGTCCACGTAGTTCCGGCTTAAAAGTTTGTTGGTGAAAATATTTTTTTGAAGAGAAATTAATTAGAAATAATTCACCATTTTGTAAATAAAACAATTTTTGAAATTTTGATATGTGTGTTTTAAATTGCAAAAGGTAATTTAATTTTAATTATTTTCTTCATTTTTGAATTTTTGGAATAAAAAAAGAAAAGGGTTTAAAGTTATTAATTTTTTTTATGTTTTATGATTGGGAATTTTAACTGCTATACCTGCAGAGCCTTATTGGTTCATACGGTAATACAATTGCTCTAAATATCTGTGGCGATTCTGAAATCTCACACGATAAAAGAGTTTGAGAATTTAATTTATTTATTTATATTCTTATGTACATTTTTAAGTGTTGATAATAATTTTTTTAGCATGTATATACATGTTTTGAAGAATTTTAATCATCATACCTGCACAGCCTTATTGGCTTATACGGTAATATAATTATCCTAAATATTTGTGGAGATTCTAAAATCTCACATGATAAAGGAATTTTATTTAAATACATCTTTAATTTAATTAATTTAATATATAATTTATATATATATTTTAAAAACTTAATCGTTATATCTACAGAGTTTTATTGACTCATACGATAATACGATTATCTTTAGAAGTTTACGGAGATTCAAAAACCTCACATGACTAAGAAATATAATTGGTGAATATGGTTACAATTTAAATGCATTAACTTGGTTAATTAATCTTCTAAATTGGGTATTATATGATTGTTTACAAAAATCATTTATTTATTATAACAATTAAAAATCACTATATCTGCGAGGACTTATTGTCCCACACGATAATGTGATTAATTTAAGTCCTTACAAAAATTATTGAAGTCTCACATGGGACTTAAATAAATTACTTAGATTAAAAAAAATAGTTGATTTTAACGGTGGGTCATTAAAACTATTGATTATACATATAAATTGGATCTCTATTCCTGCAAAATCTTATTGATTTACACAAAATGAGATCACTTTAAATGTCTACAGAAATTCTTAAAATCTCACACGACAAGTAAATGATTAGAGATGAAATTTTCTCTTATTCATTTCATTTTTTTAAAATTGGGTAAGAATCGAATTCTCTCCCCTCTGCCTTTTATAAAATAGGCTTGTCATAATAAATGGAATCGTACATGTAATCATGATGAAGAATGCCATATGATATGAGTGTAGCAATATTATTTACAAGTAAAGGACCTTAGGACTAATGGAGATAAAGCAATAATGCTCATACATGTTAATATACACATTTAAAGACCTTGCTTAATAATTACACTAATTCTTATTTGAAATGAGATTGTGCCTAAAATCAAATTTAGCTTAGCTATGATAGGAAGCAAAATTATTATTTACAATTTCTTTATATTTTTTTCACACTCTCTTTTTTTAAAAAAAATATGAAAATTGCAATGAAATCATTTGGGAACTGAAAAATATGGGACAAAACATTTAAACATGAAATCCATTTTGGAATAGTAAACAAAAATTAAACACGTGTATTTTAGATTCAGAAGCAAGAACCTGTGTATATGGGATGTCCAGATCTGTCTCACTACTCCTGTCACTCCTCCCTCTCTGATCTCGATCTCTTCTTCCTCTTCTTTATTTTCTTTGTTTTCAGAAAATTTTCCTTCACGTCTCAATCTCCTCCTTCTCCTCTCCGTCTCTGTTTCTTCTTACTCCTCTCCGTCTCCTTTCTTCTTTTCCTTTCAGAAAACTCTCCAGTACTGGTTTCTCGGCTGATTCCATTTCTCCTCCCTTCGTCTCTGTTTCTTCTTTCTCCTCTCCATCTCCTTTCTTCTTTTCCTTTCAGAAAACTCTCCAGTGCTGGTTTCTCGGCTGACTCCATTTCTCCTCCCTTCATCTCTGTTTCTTTCTCTCTCAACCTCTCTCTTCTCCTTCGGTTCTTTCGTGCTTTGTTTTCTGTTTCTTTTGTGCGTATGTTTCTCCTTCCTTTTCTCCAGCCAAAAAAACCGCCCCCTCTTTGTTTCACGTTTTGTCTTATATAGGGGATGGAAGAGGTGTGATATCTGCTCTCCTGCTCCGCTCTTCCTTACTACTGCGTCTTCTGTGTGCGTCGAAGTCTCTCTCTTTTTTTTACATTTCTGTCTCTATTTTCCTGTGCCAACCCATCTGCTTTCTCTGCTGTGCCATTTCCTTCATGCATGCGTGCGTCCTTGGTTCTGTTTCTTTTCTCTTGCCAGCCGAAAGCATATGCGTACGTGTTCCAATTGCTTGCTGTTCTTTCTGGTCTATTTTGCTTCTTCTACATTTCGTGTCTGTTGTCTCTGGTTCTTTCAGTGTTTACAGCTCATGTGTTCGTGTGTTCTGCTATTTTCTCCTTTTTCCTGTTCCATGGCCGCGAAAGTTGTGTGCTTGTTTTTGTTTCTGCGTCTATGTGCTTGCGTTTGGTCTCTCACCTTTGCTTGTTTCTGCGTTTCTGCATCTCTGTTTCTGTTACAAAGCTAAAAGAGCTGTGTGTGCGTACGACAGTCCATTTCTTCCTCATTTCCTCTCTCTAGCCTATGCACCATGTACGTTATGCTCTCCCCTCTCTTTTTTTGTTTATTAACTTCAAGAATTAGATTAAAAGGGAGAAGAAAAAAAAAGAAAGAAGAGAGAAAAAAAAAGAAATTAATTTTGAGGTTAAACTAGAATATTTCTCTCTTTTTTTGGGAAACAACAAGATTAAAGAGAAAAAAAAGGATAGTGAAAATTAACTCTCAAAAAGTTGATTCTCGAATATTTTTGAATGATTGAGATAATTTTAAAAGATTTTAAACAAGATTTTTTTGATTTT